ATATTAGGATACACATGCTCTGTTTTTTTAATTATTTTGTGTATGGTAACTTCTTTGTACCTCAAGAGGGGTGCTCAGACATTCCCCTCAATTTTTAATTTTATTTTAAGTTTCTCTGGATGATAGCTTTATACCCTCCTTCTGACAGAGGACAGTAATCTTTTTCTGAGTCTTGGTGCCATTTCTCTGCTGTGCAGCAGCCTTCCTTCACGCATCATGTATTTCTTTCTCTCAGGACTGAGCAAATTGCAGCTGTGTTTGTTTCTAGGCCTGGACTGTGACACCAACCAAGATTAAAGCCCATATCTCCTGTGAGAGCAGGAAGTGTCAGGGAAGCAGAAGCGGGCCCAGATTTCAAGAGATGATTAAAGTTTTACTAGATGTTGCAACAGGTCTCTTCCTGCTCACTTCCAAAGGCTATTTATAGCCTGGTGATACAACTGCTTGGGTCACTCGAGGAAGCCCTGCACTGGCCTGTCTTCCACTTAGCTCTGCTGCCAGAGGCAGGCTGGTAGGAGTGTAAATGTAGATACATCTGCCCTTATTAGCTCCCTAATGCTCAGAGAAAGGAATATCCCCACTTCAAATGCACATCTGAAGATGAAATAACGATATTTCATGTAGGTTTGGATGGGGTTTGTGTTACAGACCTGCTGAGGCTGCAGCCAGCCCCTGGTGTGGTAGATGAGCAGTCTGGAGGCTTGCACTGGCTATCGTCTGGTAACGTGGCAAGCTGTTCTATGTTTTCTCTTATTAGCTGCTAGTCATTCCACAGCCAGGCTCCAGCTACCTCTGTAAGAGTGTAGTTTGCCCTAGTTTACACTGAAGTGTGTGTCACCGTGTGCATCATCTCTGGAGTTGCTTCTTAGTTCTTCGGAACATTGTCATGCAGCTGGACTGTAAACATAAGTGGTAGATGGATGTAAAGCCTGTGTGGCTGTGCAGGTCTGTATGAAGCAACAGTGTAGTAAACCCTTTATTTTCCCTTTTACTTTCCTCAGTGACACCACAGCTCTCTGGCCCAACCTTGGTACAAGTGGCCAAGCAGCCAAGATGGATTTATAAGGCAGAAGCAATAGACCAGGTGACAGAAATAAAACTGCTCCTTCTCAGGATCTAGAGAAAGGACTCCTCCCTGCCAGCCCAACCATAGCCACATCAACTGCTGGTTTCAACAAAAGGATCCTAGCCCAGGCGCATGGCTAGCTTGCCTACAATTTTGAAGGTAGAGGTCCAGAACTAAAACACCAGCCTCTGAATCTTAGTGTTTAGCTTGGCTGCTTGTGGAAACAAGGGAGCAATTCCATTGCCCTTCCCCAAAACTTTTAAATCCCTTTGTAATTTTCTTCAGGGGCAAAGGTTTTGAAAACAAGAAATTCTTGGAGTGAAGTACCCCCATAGTAGAGGGAAAGGCTACAGTGTGACCTGATGCTGTCAAACACTAAAGAAGAATGTGTGGGAGGAAGGATGTTGCAGAATGCTTCACTTGATGCGTTTTACTGGATGGGCTGATTGTAGGAAATTGAAATCTCTATTGAGGAACTCAGGTGAAAAAGTTCAGGTGACCTTTTCTTTCAGATCCATTTGTTATCCTTGATGACTTTTATGCTTTCGCCATTCCGTGTCCACTTGTAACATTCTGAGCGAGTAAAGCCAGGATGAGAGAGAGACAAATCTGAAAGAGAAGGGGGGAAAAATGGCCTAAAACCCAATGACTCTTGGAAGGCAGTAGATCTGTGTGCTGGTTATATTCGGGGCACCTTTCTTGCAGTTGGGAATTGAGGTCACTTCCTGAACCGTGTGAACTTTTCTTTCTCATGCCAGGGGGCAAAAGAATTCCTTGTGCCCTCACGGGAAGCAGGCAAGTTCTACTCTCTGCCTCAGAGTCCTCAGCAATTCAAGCAGCTCCTCATGGTTGGAGGCGTAGACAGGTAAGAGTTACTTGAACTCCCGTTCTCTGCATGTCCTGTCCAGAGTTTGTTTCTTTTGCTGTGTGAGGCTTTAGAGACTTCCCCAAGAATTTCTTGCCAATGGCTTTGTTTCAAAGAGGGATCCTTAAGTACTTAGAATTATCCTAAGCCATGCTCATTAGCAGTAATGCTGCCTAGTAAGCAGAAGTTTATCCCTCTTTGATGGTTGAAATCTTCACTGTTTTAAAATGGAAACCTGATCTTAAGCACAGAAGTAGGAATAAGCTTTGCAGAGACAGTCTGCCTGAAGGACAGAAGATCTAGAGCATGATAAAAAGCCTCATGCAATGTATCCTGTAGAACTAACTGACATGAGGCTGGTCAGCTGAACGTGACTGAGACAAGGTAAGCACATCCTCCAGATGCATAGGTACAAAGCTTTTAATTGGGCTCGTTCCTCCAAACAGAACTAAAGGAGAGGGAGATATTCCTGCAATGGACTTCAGACCAGGTCTTGACCGTGAATGAATTTTGTATGGCCCTCAGTATGGTCCATGTTTGGAGTGGAAGATGGGAAAAGGTGTTGCACGTGCCCTGTCAGGGCACAGCTCACCTGGTAGCCTCCTCGTGCCTCTGGAGGGTATGGCTGGAGAAGGATACAGATGCTGATACAGCTGCTTCCACTCAAAATTTCATGCTCTTGAAGGGATGGCAACAACCAGGGCTATGATAATCCAGTACATACAGAGCAGAGCACTCCTTTTGCTGACCATTTCCATAGCCACAATTTAATTTAGGGTACTTTAAATTGGAGTCTAAATGTAAGTACTATTGCAGGTACTTTCAGGTTGCTCGCTGCTACCGAGATGAAGGCTCACGGCCTGACAGGCAGCCTGAATTCACTCAGGTAACCACCTTACACTACCTTTCAACCCTCTGCCTCACACAAACAAGCCTTGTAAGCTGTTCTACTTTTTGAAGGCCTTGGGTGTCTGCTGGTTCTTGTGCTGCTTGTGGGTTAGCGAATGTTGGTTGTTGTGGGTTTCACAGCCCCAGCCCCCTGCAGTTGGTTTGGGATTGGCACTGACTCGGCTGACTACTGTCCCAGGTGCCAGTCAGTAGATGTGGGATTGCGTTGCAGCAGTGATTGTATTGATGCTGCATGTCTGCTCTGCTTGTCCTGCCGAGCTGGGCATCCTGTTCATCAGCCTTGAGAGCCCAGGCAGTGTTTGGTCGGGTCCATTCAAGGCTTCTCTCTCTGTCCTTGTCATCATTACCTCATTTAGCACTCTGAGGAGGTTGTTGCCTGAGTCAGCAGGCTGTAGGAGATCATAAACGTACCCTCAGACTAATGCAGTCATGCTATGATTTAATTTAGTATCTTGTTTCCTTTTACGCTGGCTTAAGAGCTTCTGCAAGTAACAGTGCAAAGGCAAAAACTGTAGCTAATGTGGAATCTCTATTTTCTATTTTAAGATAGATATAGAGGATGTCATTTGTGATCAGGCGGGATTCAGAGGCTGATAGAGGCCTTCTGCAATATTCCTGGCCTCAGGAAAGAGGTGCCGTTACGACTCCTTTCCCTTCCATGACCTATGAGGAGGCACTGGCTGGCTATGGACTGATAACCAGACACCCGTTTTGGGATGAAGGTGAGCCTTGCCTGTTGGAAACGTGCGGTTTTTGTTTTCTTCCTGATAGTATTTTAGGAATAATCTTTGATTAAATCACTTATACATGGTTAAGTGGAGTTCTTAATTATGTAATATACCCAAGGTGTCTTTCCCATCATCACTGCTTTGCACAGGTAATGATCTCTTAGAGAAGAAAGGGGTAGGCTTGTTTGTGGGAAAATGTATATTTTTAGATCACTTTATTCTGAAGATAATGTCTCCGGGGTTTTTCTGGCTCCCTTGCTTATTTGTCTCTGTAGTCCTCTGTCTTCTAATGGTTATTCACATTGGGCCTCATTCATTTCTTTCTGTGAACCTTTTGATTACTTTGAGTAAGGAAGCTGTGTCCTAGGGAATGGTTTCTGAAGGCAATAGGCACAAGAGCAGGATTTTTGCTTTGTGTTCTCTGCATGTTCTTCCCACCACCACTTTTTCCTGTGTTCTCTCCTTGCTCAGATAGTGGACATCAGTGATATTTTACGAAGATCGGATGTTCAATTTGTGCAGAATGCGCTCAGTTACCCGCGTGGCACTGTCAAAGCTATTTGTATCCCTCAGGGAGTGGTAAGTGATGCTTTTACATAACGCGTATGTTTATGAACTAAAACACCAATTTAAATCCCTTTGTTGGTATGGAAATGTTCCCTGCTATGACTGGGGGAGTGGTGTCCTTCAGGGAACTTGGGATAGATTGTGAGTGATGTCACATTGGGCTGAAGATTGTTAGAAGCAGGGGAATGGAGGTGGTCAGGCAATGGGAAGAATATGTGATTTTGTAATATATTGTCCTCGTGAAGAGACAATATATTGCCCTGGGTGGAGAGCAGAGCTGCAAGGCTGAGAGGTCCCTTGAGGATAGGGAAGCCTCCTGGGGCTTTGGCTTGCTTCTGTCAAGGATAACATCTGAATAATAAATTGTGCCCTGTGAGGAGAGGTTGAAATAGAGCCAGGTATGGCACAGCTCTGTTCTGTGCTAATGAGAGAAAACTGCGTCCTGTTTGCTTCTGTTGTGTTTGTGGGCACTGCTCACGTCTCGTAATGAGACTGTCACCAACCAAATCCAAGGCTGACAGTAGATCGAGAACCATATTTGACGTATCTTGGCAGGGAAGCAGATTTAATTCTGGCTGTGAGCATCTTTGCAGCATAAGCAGTAAGGGGAAAAAGCGTTCGCTAGACACCTAGTTTTATTCAGGGAATAGGACTTCCTTTTGGGATTCTTCTAATTTTGGCAGAAAGCACAAGTTCCTGGCTTCCCACGAGAGGGCACTAAAGGTGTGCATTTGCAAAACAAGTGTAATCTGGAGCCTTTCTACCTTAAAGTAGTTTAAGAAAAATCAAGAATTTGATGGAGGGTTTCATATCTACTGCATTTCTCTGCATATGAGGATCAGCCTACACCGAGTTACGCCGTCACCATCAGCAGTGTGGTGTTGTAACCTTGTTCTGCTCTGTAACCCACATGCTGGACGCAGTTAGTTACCCTGACACTACTGACTAGCTGCATCTGGTCTGTGAGCAGGGAGAACAACTGCTTTCTAGAGGGGCTGCTTGGAGAAGACACTCAGCTGCAGTCTGGTGCTGCAGGCCCTCTCTTATTCCACAGCCATCATGCAAATCTTGCGCTAGAAACAAAAGAACTTGAGAGCTCTGGAAACAACTCTGTCAATAGATTTGAATCCTGGTTTGGCTTTCCATAGATTTTTCTGCTGTTTGATGTGTCTTTTCTTGCTCTTTCCCCAGAGATACCTTAAAAATAAAGATCTGGAGTCATTAAAGCAGTCTGCAAAATCCCAGTTCAACCAGGTGAGACAAAAACACTGCTGCAGCATTGGCAGCAATGAATGGTGAGCTGTGTATAAAAGCACGTGCAGGTAGAGGAAGGCAGAAGAGCTGTTTTTAATAAGGCTACTTGCTGAGAGGCAGTGCTGGAACACGTCATGGTTCCAGAGAAGAGACAGCAGCACTGAACTGAACATATTCTTTTACTGATCTTGCATTAGGAGGTCATGGACATGATCTGCAGGCCTGATGGAAGCTTGAAGTCTCTGCTTACAAAACTTCTTGGCAAGGAGCAGCAGTCGGAGCTCATGCGAGCGCTGAACGTGCAGGTGGATGATGTGGTGCTGCTGGCAGCTGGAGAACACAAGCGAGTGGTAGGAAGCATTTCTGGGTGTTGGTGTGAGTTCAATATCGCTGATGGCTTTGATGTTACCTGTCCTTAGTCTAATTCCTCTGACCATTACAATAGGTCGTCATCTAATTCCATACTTCTCTGGATCTGAAGATGTAGCAACAACAAATAATGCATGAAATGTACCTATTGCTTTTATTTCCACCAGTCAGCTTCTGGGAAGAACTTGTAACTGAAATTAAGGCTGCAATATAAAACAGGAACAAATTGGTGCCTCATTTTCTCTCACGTCAACTTACTTATTTTTTTTTTTTAAATTACTAAACAGATTGGAAAACAAGGTCGGCTAGGTAACTGTCTCCCATAATGAGGTGACAGGAGCGAAGTACGGCTGCTTATTAGCAGAGAGGAGAGGAGATTCTGTCTCAAGCCTTCTCTGTATTCCTGCCAGTAGATGTTGCCTTCCAAGCACTGCATGTGTCATACTTAGCATGACTGCCAAAGCTGTGTAACTTCTTTCTGTGCCTTCATTTCTCTGCCTGTTATGAGAGATCTTACTTGTGCTTCCCCGGTTAATCCACGTGTAGGGTTTGAGGTGTCAGTCCAGAAGAGTTCTGTGAGGACGGAACATGTGGAAGAAAATGGGCTTTCCAGCTCCTTATTTGGCTTTTTTTTTGGTCAAAGCCTGCCTCAGCAGGAAGGTGATGTCTTTTAGGAGACAAGGCAAAAATGTTTTTTAAGGCAGCACCACAGTACAACTAATGCTGTCTGTGATGTTGCAGTTACGGAAAACTCATGTATGGCTGATGTATGAGCAACTTCCTTGGCAGTAAATTGCCCCTTCTCATTAGCTCCTTTCTTTTTTTGCAGTGCTCTGCATTAGGAAGCTTACGGTTGGAGAGTGCTGACCTCCTGGAGGCAGCTGGAATGATGCTCCGTGATCCTACAGCTTTTCACTTTCTGTGGGTGGTAGATTTCCCACTTTTCCTCCCCAAGGAAGAGAATCCTGCTGAATTGGAATCTGCTCATCACCCCTTCACTGCCCCTCATCCTGCAGATACCAACCTCCTCTATTCTGACCCCACAAAGGTAACTGCCATGTTGGCCCTTTTACAGCTGTGTTTTGTGGAAAACTAGGCAAGTAGCAGTCCTTTTACTATAAAAAGGGATAGTTTGGGGAATTAACTTCATACTGTACTTAATCTGTTTGGAAAAGGTTGCTTCCAGATTATTCTGAATAGCAAATATCCAGGTACCACTCTGACAAAAAGGGCGTGTTGGAAATGTTTGCTTCGGTTGAGGAATCTTGAATTTTGTCACATCCCATGTTGATTCAGGTTTTGACTAACTTTAAAGAAGGACTTGTACTGGGCCAATTTCTGTTAAGCTACACGCTACCCTGAGGTAGCATGCACTTCTGTCAGCAGCAGTCTGTGCTGCTGGTAGGATTGGTACTTGAACTGGGACCTTCTCCTGCTTGGGCTTGGAGTTAGGCAGTGACAAAGCCACAAAAGAAGCTGCAGGAGATGTGTCCAGGTGGTATCTTTTCATATTTGTGCCTTGTCTAGTATTGCAGAGCAGGAGTCCTGCTGGGACTGGAACTAGAAGAGGAGCACTGGTGAAACGTGCACTCTGCCTTGCTCTGCATGTGCTAGTAGGACTTTGTCCGAAGCCAAAGGAGATGAATGGGAGTTTTCTCTTGGGCTTCTGTTGCAATCTGTGTACCTGTTATTCCAAAGCTAGTAATCTGTCACCCCCAGAGGAATTCAGTAGAAAGCTTTCTCCTCTTTAGTGTTTTGAACCTCTTTTTATGTGTCTGTGAAAGGCTCCACTGAGAAAGCAGTGTTGTGAATGAAGACATGACACTACAGAATCTTTGTCGTGTCTGTGCTGGTTGGCATTAAATGCAGTTCTGTCCCAGCTTTGCGAAGGTGCTTCTTCATTTCTTTTCCCAGGTCCGTAGCCAGCACTATGACCTTGTGCTGAATGGCAATGAAATCGGAGGCGGCTCCATCAGAATTCATAATGCAGAACAACAACGTTTTGTGCTGGAGAAGGTGCTGAAGGTAATGCCTGTAGATGTCTCCAACATCCTGTTGAAGTTTTAAATGAGTACTTAACTTAAATATATTTCAGGTTCTGTAGAAACATAACTCCTAGCCCTGAGAGACGGATGACTGCATTGTACTTTTATCTTATCTTGCTAGCAGGAAGTGTTGTTCAATCAGTGACATTTCTTATGTAACTTTGCAGGAGGATTCAGAGGTGCTTTCCCACCTGCTTGAGGCTCTGGAGTTTGGAGCTCCTCCACACGGAGGAATTGCTTTGGGTAAGTGCTCTGTAGTCATCCAGAATGCAGGTGTCTCGTGCCTTTCTTCTGGCATATTAGATCTCAGGAACAAGCCTGAGAGCAAGTTTGTTAGCAAAAGCCTTGCCTCTTCCTGACAGAGATGGCTGTTTTGGTGGTGCCAAGTACCAGCATCAACATGGTAACGCTTTGTGGGCTTCTTCTCCAGTGTTTGTCTTTATATAGCTGTGTTACGGAAGAAGCAGAGCACTCATCACCAATGCAGAATGTTTCAGTGTTCCTCTTCTCCTTCCTGTGCACCCAGAGCAGGTTCTCTGTACTGCATGCTCAGAGGGCTGGGACAGCACAGTTCTGTTCCATGCCCTGGGTCACTGCCACAACCTCAGCCTTTGCTTCTGTCTCACTTGCCATCTTCTGTCTCTGTTTCATTCACTAATTCAGAGAGCTAAACTGGCTGTAAGCAAATGCTGTCGCGTTAGCTCCCTGATCTGGCTCAGCATGGATCTGGTGGACACCTGTGCCACGACAGGAAGCAGATAAAACTCTGGAGTCAGAGGGAGTATGAGGAGATGGCAGCACTGACCTAGGTGTTGTGGAATGGCATCTTCAGAAGTCATTAGAGTGCTGTGTATAGCATTACAGGAGTGTCCGATTGTTTTCTTAGAATCTTTCATTTTTTTTTTTAAATGAGCAATGAAAGAGTAACACCCAGAGGCTCTTGTTCTTTCTCAAGTCCTCCTAGTTTAGTTCTTCAGAACTGATTGACCAAGAGCTTTGTCTGGGCAATTAAACAGAGCAGTGATGGTGCTCCTGCCACTTAGTGGCCCTGCCATTGTTATGCTCTCTCTGCAAAGGCACTGCCTCTGTCTTGCAATCCATGGTGTATCACAGAATTTTTTTGGTAACATTGAAAAGCTTTGTTTTTGCTTGGCACTTCTGCTGTCTAGGTTAACCATTACTGGCTGAGGTTATTTTTCATGTATTTGCTTCAGTTTTATTCTTAATGCCCCAATAATGTTATCTACTCTATTTTTCTGACTTTCTGAATTGGAGGAACTAATATAGCACCGTAATTCAAGTGGTTCATCAGTTTGTTTTCTGCTTCTAGGACTTGACAGGCTGATCTCTCTCATCGTTGGTGCTCCAAGTATCCGGGATGTCATCGCTTTTCCTAAATCATTCAGGGGACGGGACCTGATGGGCAACGCTCCAGACTATGTCACTCCAGAAGAATTAGAGCCATATCACATCCAGGTTTCCTGGCCTGTTGCAGAAACAGAGGCAAAGAAAAACTGATTTATAGCCAGTGGTGTGAGCTGAGCTGTTTAAGTAGAGATGGTTCCAACTTCTAATACTAGAAGGCAGCTCAGAAAACATGAGCTGTTATGGGAGGGTCAGGGGAATACAACCCCGCTGTGCCATGGCGGTTTCAGAATTGAATGGGGAACAGACACGAGAGTTCTCCTGATAGGAATTCACCTTTGGGTTGGTAATGGGAAGGAGAAGCAGGAAAGTGGAAATTAAAAAAAAAACATAATTTCAGCATAGGATGTTGAGACTGTTGCCTTCAGGGTGTTATATTGAAGGTGGGATTTCTTTTTCCACTCCCCAGTTTTTACATGTTCTTTGTAAACTGTTTTTATCACATCTGGAAGAGATTGTGTACCAGCTTCTCTGGGAGACGTTCCTGTATTCCTGATAATCACTGAATCCCTGTTAGCTGAGAACTGTTACAATAGGGTAGTGCTGTGCTGGGCAGAGCTCTGGGTACATAATAACGAGACTTGAGTGCAACCAGCAATTTGTCTCTTGCTGGGGGATACAAGATCATCCAGAACTTGCCATAGGGAGTTTGTATTTGGCAGTGTTTCCTATTCAAAGATGGGGAGAGGAGCATGCATGGCATTTCTAACAGTTGTCCTCACAACGCTCATCGAACAGGAGTTAATCTGTCTTTGGGGCCTGTGGTCCTGCCACTTTCAGAACTCTAGTTCTGAAGTTTGTATCCTTTCTAAATAAAGTTTATCTGGCGATATGATTTTGTCTGAGCTTGGCTTTGAGCTTTCACTACAAGAACAAAGAGCCACCAGTTCTTCTCTAAGACCTATGACCCATCCAGGATCAAGAAATCCGTGGCAGCAGGACTCCAGTGCCTTGTGAGTTCTGCAGCCTCCTGCAAACCTGCTGCTACAGCCGTGAGTGATGCAGCTGCAAGCCCCTTGTAGGTGACGCTGCCAGTAGGTGTTTTATCTCTGCATGTAGGTTGGATAAAGCAGATTTGGTGGGGAGAAAGCTAATACAGTCTGCACGTTGTGGGACAGCATTACGTGGTGTGGACTGTTGGTGTTTTTAAATAACCGGACTATCCTGTGGATAAGAAGCAGTAAGGGAGATGGCTCTTTTCCTTAAGGTTGATTTTTTTTTTTTGGATTTCTCTGTAAAGCCTGAAAGTGCTGCCTATAGGGAAGTAACAAGAGAACTGACTTGCTCTTTGTAGATTACTAGACAAGGGAGGTGTCTTAAATCTGATCTCATCTCATATTATTACTGTTAACAGTCTCAGAGCGTGATTAAATACTGTTTAAAAAACCAAAACAAACAAACAAAAAAAAACCCAAAAAAATCCTGGATTTATATTCACATTCTTTGTCATCTGAATTCCTTAGTTTTCCTTTGTAGAAGATATTTTAATCTTAAATTAATTCACGTTTGCTTTTTTTTTCTTCCTGAGTAGAAGCTGTCAGTAATGGAGTGAGGATCAGTTTTCAGAGAGAAGCTGAGTTTGCCTCACTTTCCTTCGGCACTCAGAGGTGATTGCAGGATTTTAGGTGGAATTACATGTCAGACACTGATTTGTGTACTAATGCTGGCTCAAGAAGTTTGGTGACTTGATGGCTTGAAAAGCAGATCCATGTTAAAAGCATCTTTTAAATTGGGTGGGACACAAGTGACTAAGTGTTAAACATATAAATTAGAGAAAGAACTTGGAGAAGCTATAGTCTTCTGGAAGAGAGAGATTTAGGATGGTTTTCATGAAGACTGGGAACAAACATTAATTTAGATTTATTTCTCTAACCTGTGTTCAGGGAAACTAGAGAGATTTCAAACTGTGACTTTTAGTGGAGCATCTTTGGAAAATGCTAGGTTGATGTGTGCTCCAGAATGTTGTTAAAATGGAATTAGGAAGCTTTTGAATAGGAAAAACTAGTAAATCCTATGCAATCTCCAACAGCATGGTTGAATTAAATAATAGCAGAGAATAACAGATTTGGAGAGATTTTAGATGGTGCAGTGCTGATGGACCCGCAAGTGTCTGGTTCAGACAAGCTACCTTGTTGTACAAGATGTGTGAGACTGATTTTAATGCTAGAGGGTTAGGGGTTAAACATAGTAAGTGTCTTATGTGACTTGCACAAGAATTTACCTGGTATCAGGCCAAAAGCATGTGTCTATTACCTGCATATGTGGTTCCATTTTGGCTGAAGAGCAAATCTGCAAATCTTTGATTAGAATAAAATGGAAATACTTAAGTTAGAGTAAAGTACTCAGGCACTGCCTTGCAAGAGTTATACCCAAGATACCATTCCCTTTACTTTTAAGTGATTATAAGAAATACAGCCAGAACAAGGCTATGTCGTATGTGGATTGCTTCTTTAGAGGATGACGGATTTTGCTATTTAGCTTTACTGGTAGTGAGAATGAGACTTAATGGAAGTTGCTTGAGAGTTGTCAGTGTTTCTAAAGTAGGGATTATCAGAGGCTTCTCTGAGGACACGAAGCACAGAAAAACAGTTTTTCTGAGAAGTCCTTCACTCCCCCAGGCTATTATTTATAGTAACTGTAAACATAGTATGTTAAAGGTTTTTTTTTTTTTTTTAAATAGTGAAATAAGGAGTACTGTATCATTTTGTAAGTAACTGCAAAGGCAAATGTTGTTTACCTCTGAAGAGTCCCAGTTCTTTAAATTAGGATTATTATCAAGTGTTCAAAGTGTAACATGCTCTGAGAGGCTTAGGCAGAACTGTAACACTGCTTGGAATGTTCTTGCTGAGAGCACTTGTTAAAACGTGTGAGCAAACTGTCTCTAAAGCGTCCTTCTTATGTGCAAACTGTTTTGTGCGATGTTTATTTACCCACTGCTATATTAAGGCCTCATTGCAGTTGTGTGTTATACAGTTATGATTAACCACAATGAAAAAATGCTGCAAAACCTGTCATCTGAGCTGCTGCCGTCCTGCCACGATGAGGTCAGTGAAAAGATGGATCCCAAATGGATGCAGAGCATCTGTACTTGGACTGGTGAATGAAGGTAGCTTACAACACAACTGTGTGAATTCACGAGTGGTCATAAGAATGTTACCACAGAGAAGACATTGCTTGTTTTGTTTTTACAGAGTACTGTTTGTTTAAGGCTTCACTCGGGTTTGTGGAAGCCTGATCTACAGATAATCACTTCTAAACCACAATCTAGTTGGCATACTTAGCTGCATATTTTGGTAGAAGCAAGAGTAGACAGACATTACAAAGAAATACATGGAAATAAGGGCTGATCATATTGCAGGCTGTTACGTTTGCCAGAAAAGCTGCTGGCCTGGAAGAAGTTGTTAAAGACATTCCTTCATTTCAGCACAATGTAAATTGTGAATTGTGTTTTCATCAGAGACACCTGGTGAAAAGAAGCTGTGGCATAACCACGAGCTGCGAGCTTTCACAGAGCCTGTGTTGCTTCTGCCCTCCTTCTGTATGAGATGAACCTATGGAGAAATGTTGCTGTCAGAAAATACAAAGTTCTGGACTCATCCCCTAAGAGTTAATATTAAGTAAACTCTCTGTTAGGGGTGTGATGTGTAAGAAAAGGTTGGTGAATCTATATTGCTGCTTGGCTTCATTTATTTTTTTATTTTTTATTTTTTTTCTTTTTTCCTTCTCAATGTAGCAGAGGTGTAAATCTGTTTAGCTATTTACTGAGAATCCAAAGTGCTTGAGGCTGTCTCTGTACCAATTCTTGTTGTCCACAGAGCGAGAAGTAACACAATTAGTGCATTTAAACTTCTCCCTGTATTGGAGATGCTAATGAGACTGCTGGCTGTCACCAGAAATGCCCCTTCCATACACAGCAGCTTCCCACACTACGGTATGCATACACATAAATAGTTAACAAAAAAATCATTACTGTAGGAATCGGGGTAGTAATTTCCATGTGTTCTGATGACTCTTTGGCGCTTTCTTCAACCTTGTGTGTGTGGCGGTCGGGTGTGTTTCCTGACAGGGCATTCTGTAGCCCAGAGAACTTAATGACCAGTACACATGTGGTGTAAATGCCTGAAGTAACTAGGAAAATAAAGCTAACATTCACACCTTTAAGGAAAAGGTACAGCATTGAAGAGGCTTTCAGGGTAGGGCATAACTGCATTATCTGAGCATTCCCTAGGCTCCCAACCTTAGATGCTATCGCGCTGGGGAAACTTGGTGTGCTAGCTCTAAGGAACACCACGGAGCGTAGAGTGGAGTGGAGACACCACGGCTAGGCTCTGTAATCAGGTGGGGCCTCGATTGTTCTTGTGCACAAAGCTGCACTTTTTGCCACCCTAAGCCAAAGACCTGTCATGTTTTGACAAATGCTGTACCCTAGTGTACTTTTTGCTCATTATAATATCATTATAATACCAAAACACACCTCCATCCCAAAAGCTACCCGCCTCCAAGGTGCGACCACCCCTCACTGAGCATGCGCTCTGAATTTCTCGGAGCCTATTACTTTAAACGGAGACGGGAAAACTTTACACCAATCATAACTAAGATATGCTTGACTAGAGCCACTCAAGCTCCACCTAAAAGATAGAAAATAATATAAATTGGCCCAAGAGAGAGGGGATGTTAGGGAAGATACCATCGTCAGGGGAGATACCATCCCGAGGACATACAGCACCCTTAGGACCTCCTGACTCCTGGGATCAGTCGACGGGCTGAGCCTCTCTTCCCCCCCCATTGGGACGCCTTTGGGTGAGATCTGAATATTTGCTTATAAATCTCTATATAGAGTCTTTGATCCTTTCAACGCGTTTATTTCTAGGCTGTGCACCCATAACACCTATAACACCTGTAACATCTATACCATCTATAACATCTATAACATCTGCACACCTATAACACCTGTCACATCTATAACACCTATAACGCCTGTGTATTTCATGCATATTAGCTTGCTTTTGCAGACAGTCACTATCGCCGGCAATCCAAAAGAACCTGATTATCTGTTGCTGTAATAAACCATACTTGATTGCATTGTGATAGCTTTCATTAATGCGACTTGGGTGAGGGTGATTATCCGTGATAATTCAGTGTTCTGAATCTAACCAGACCCCCAGACGGTTAATGCATTGTTGGTGAATGTCTGAACGGACCCCCAGGTGGTTAATACGTTTTTGGTGAATGTCTGAGTGGACCCCCAGGCGGTTATTACGTTTTTGGTGAATGTCCGAACGGACCCCCAGTTTTGGTGAATGTCCGACTGGTTCAGTACTCTGAATTCAAACGGGCCCGTGACGGTTAATCAGCTACACCCCTTTAACGCGACAGTAAAATTGGCGTAGTCGGCAGGATTGCTATGGATAAACTACTGCAAAAATATAAATGTGCCCCTTCCCAGGCAGGGAAGGAGTTTTCCCAAAAGTTTTGGAAAGATGAGGAGAAAGTGGTAGAGCACATTGAGCCGTGTCAGGCTTCACGAAAGATTGGTCAAAGAAAGGGTAAAGGTGCGATTTATGCTGTGTTAGGAGATTGTTTGTCTTGTGCTCGGCAAAAAGCTAAGGAAACTCCTGCTCCCAAATTGATCTCTGATGCGGAACATACAGCTTTGAAATCAGAGAATGAAATATTGAAGTCATCATTGGCCTTTGAAAGGGAGACGGGAAAAACATTAGGAATCAGAGTGGATAAACTTTTGGATGAAAATAATAAACTTTCCATTGAGAATGACAAACTTGTGACTGAAAATGATAAACTTGTGAGTGAGAATAATCATCTTAAACAATTGCT